CATCAATCCCATTACATACTTGAGGTATCTAGCAGACATTTACTTATGGCACAATGGGATCTCCAGTCCTAAGAATCACACCTCCTGACAGGTCACTTGTGAAAGAATAAAAAATTGACTGACTTCCCCTGCCTCGCACCTGCAAATCCATGGGCTTTCTGCCAGGGCCCCAGAATTGGGGAACCTCTCCCCAGTCCTGGGGTCCTGGTGGACATCTAAAAACTGCACATGCAATTGGACAGCACAGCCCGTTCATAAAGGTCCTGGCATACTGAGCCTAAGACTGCAGACAGGCTCTCTGATCCCAAGGTCCTAGTGAGCTGAAACCTTTAAACATCATATGTGTAGCTGGAATGCACAAGCAGTTTTTAGACAACCCTGGCACATGGGGTTGCCAAGATCAGGGGAAAGCTCCCTGATCACAGGATTCCAGAGCACCAAGACCTTTAAAAACCACATGTGGCACTCCAGCCAGGCTGTGGCTGGTACATCTAAAAACTATGTATGCAGCCCCTCAGCTCCCTTCTCATACTCCCACCACCACAAAACTCTAAACCCATTTCCCCAGCAGCCCATTTTTAGCATTTAGACCAATGCTGATCTCCATCCTAATACCAATGCTGACTGTTAGCTTTGACTTGGGCATGCTACACGTGCATATGATGGCACCATACAAACAAGCCACAAACACCTCCTACATATTTTGTAGAATAACTTTGTATCTGGTTTGCCACTTTAAGGCACTATAAATCAGCTGTATGTGTAGCACTGTTACTATTTAGGGTGTGATTTACATGCTAATCATTAGGGCTGTATGAAACGGCACTATTCCATTTCAACTCGTGTTTTGAGGTTTCAATGGAACAGAGTTTCATTTCGAATTTTGTTTTGATTCGAAACTGCTGCTCTGTTTTGTTTTGCCAAAACAGTGATGCTGTTTTGAGGCTGTTTTGATGTTTCACCCATAGTCTATAATGGGGAAGCCCGAGACAGCCTCTCCCATCTGGCAGGCAGATCAGGGCCCAACCCCAGAAGGGCTGCACGGGCTGTACCAGTCTTCCCAGGGTTGCAGGCCCCCATCTGCCTGCCAGATGAGGGAGGAAGGCCACCTGGGACCAGGGAGCTGGGGAAGGGAACTGAGCCCTTCGTTTCATTTAAATTTCACTGTTTTGAGCTCCAAATGAGTTGAAACAGTGTTGAAATGAAACAGCCGGTGAAATTTCACACAGCCCTACTAACCATACCTGAAATGTAACAGGTCCTAGGGGCCTGAGAAAATTTAAATTCATTTACACAGCCAGATTAGAAGTTGTGATCTTCAGCCTCAGCCATTTTATCTCTAAATCCACAACACAGGTTTAGTGTTCCTGACCTCTTACTATTTGTGGACACTTGTGGAAATTCAGTTATGTGCTCTGGCATTAAACCCATTTCAATGCAGAAACATAGGTACTTCTGTGTATATATGTTAGGGCTGTGCAAAGCTTCAGCCTCTGATTTGGTCTGGTGGAGATTCAGCCTGATTCAGTGGCCAAATCTCTGTATCCGAATTGAATCAAAGGACCCTTTAATCTCTTTGAATTGAACTGGAGCCCTCCGAATCAATTCGGAAAAATTCAGAAAGATTTGGCGATTCGGACTGACACAGCTTTAAATGTTTTTGTTGTTGTTGTTGGTTTTTTCTGTTTGTTTGTTTGTTTTTTTACATACCTTTAAGTAGCAGGAAGCTCATAAGTGCTGCGATGCTGGGGCAAATGGAGTGTCCCACAGAAGTGCAGGGGGCTCCTCAGTGCACGCGGCAGCAGACCCGGA